GTAGCGCCTAATTGATCTAGACTGGGGTAGTTTGTAATTGTCTTCAGCCGCCTATGCAAGTGACAGACCTCTGCTTCAGCACGTGCTAATTAGCATACATGGGAGCAGACTCAATGACCTGATTCTGCTGGAGCATGCTAATTAGCATGCTGTAGCAGCCTTCACATCAGGTGTAGTCAGTGTCCCCACATTTCAAAATGGCGGTGGGGGCATGTAACTAAAGCTTGTTGAAAAGCTTTAGTTGAAGAGCCCCCACTGCCATTTTGAAGCACGGGATGCTGAATACATGTGACGCTGCAAGCGCTTGAATTAGAGCGGCTCTCAGAGCCACTCTAATTAAAGTGTCCACCCTGGAGCACATGTATAGGCACCCTTGATCTTTAATCAGAAGTGGCTGCCTGATTAGGTTACAGTTCCCAGCATACAATATCATATCTGGCTGGTTGGCCTGTGAGTAAATGTGGCATCCTTGTATCTATGCTCTCCACGGCCATGAGACAGATCTCTGGAGGTGCATCCAAGGACCACACCGCTGTTAGAAATGTCAGGGCAGCATAAAGAGCAGACAAATCATGGGGAGAAAAGAGGCTGTTGCCGGTGGTTACATTTTCCAGTGCACTACATATCATTGTTAAATGGCTCACCAGTCAGATCAACAAGCCTTGAAGTGGGTCACTCTGAGCATCTCATAGACAGTGAATGGGAGCCCTCTGAACAGCCTGGATGAGGTAGTGTATCTTCACTCTGTCTTACAAAAACAGACTCTTGCACATTTCACAGCAGGCTGGCCCACGTGAATATCACAAAGGTGGCCCTATACATACTAGTTGAAGTTGCCCATTTTCCTGGGTCAGTCCCAGACTCCAAGAACCTGGTATTCCAGCCTGTAGCCAAGGGCTTTAGCTGACATTGGAGCCTCTGCTTCTCCAGACAAAAAAAATATTGGTTGAAGTTATTGGTAACGCAGAGGGGTTGCACACGGGTGCACGAGATTGGCGGTGCGCCCCCTGTGACTGGCCATTGCTGACGCTGCTGGCAGTGCCTGTGGGTGGTCGCTGCTTGCCACCTCCTCACCCTCTGCCGCTGACACTGCCAGGGGCATCTGCGGGCGGTCACCGATCACTGCTGGCTGCCACTTCCGCCACCGGCAGTGTCTATGGATGGTTGCCAACCGCTGGTTGGTGCTCACACCCCACTGCTGCCGACTGCCACCGCCACCTGCAGGAGCTCCCTGCTTGCTGCCACCATGCCCCCCCCACTCCGTACCACAGCTACCCACTAGCCTTCAGTTGAACAGTTTCTGGCTGCCTGCTGGGTCTGAGAATCTAGCTGTTTTCCTTCTCGAGGCCAGTAGACACCCGTGAAGCCACGAGCTACCTTTCCCCACAACAATCCAGCAACATCCCCTTACACTCAGCTCCACGGATGCCTCTTTGCTCTACATGCCCCTTCACACAACAGCCCCAGACATGATGAAGGCAATGTGCTTAGATCACTGGTCAGAAGGTAAGAGATTAATAGGAAGGGATAAGGACACAAAGATAAATAAATCCAATGAATAACCCACTAACAATCCATCCTAGTGTGATCCTTTACTGGGCAGTTAATGATTGGTTAGGACTAGGACATGAGGCAAACCCTGAGAGGACTTTTGAGATCATAGGAGGTTACTATAGCCAAACTCACTAGGTCAAGGGTGTTGTTGGCCAAGAAGTACAACTACATCAGGAGAGGTTGGGAGGAAATGGTGCAGTTTTGGTTTGGGCCAATCTCTGCATGAAAGAAAAAACTCTGCAACACCTGCTCCTAGAGTGCTTCTAAATCAGTCTGGGTTGCTTCCCAGAGAAAAGAGTGAGTCTGCACTTGGGTTATCCAGTCATCGCAGCTTGTGAATCATCGAAATATATTTTTAGCTTGTGGCCTAAACTAAGTAACCTCACTGTCTTCTTTCTGTAACCTTGCTCCCCCCTCCTCCTCCTCTCAGGGCAGCTCATATCTTCTTCTGTCTGCCATTATTTAGGCTGTAAATTATCAAAGACAAATACCTGCCTCTTACATAGATTCTGCAAAGCACTTATACCCTACCTGACCCAAATACCTTAAGTCAGTGCCTGGTTCATTCACTACTTGTGCTTACAATTAAAGCACATTTGCATGTTTTTTGCTAAGATGAGGTTTTAGTGTATTGCAGATGCTGTAAAGTAATAATAATCCCTATGACTAGCATATCTTTTCCATCCTTGAATCCAAATATTTTTGTGGTTCTTCTAATTTACAAATCCTCAACATTCAAATATGACTGCAGTGTTTTCACCCTTTCATAGGCCAGAAAGTAAGTAGAGCATAGTTTCAAGCTCAGGCTCAGGATGAAACTATTTAACAGTGTTGCTTGCAAGGAATGTGCTGCATGCATTGAATTATGAAGTTGGGTCTGGAATCAGCACAAACTCATCACAAAGGCCAAACTCCACTGCCACTGTATAATGGTGATTTCTGGCAAACGTTAACTCTGAAACACAGACAAGCTTTCACTGGCATGTAAAGGAGCTAGGAACTTTCCATCAATGGCAATCTTCAAATGGGAAGATAAAATCAGAGAGAGAGGTTGTGCAACCAGCATGGAAACAATGCTCATTAAAGGACCACACAACAGTACTGTAGCCACGTCCTGCAAACCAAATACACAATTACTAGATAATAAATCACAGTTGAGCTGGGAACGAAAACCCTGGTGCACAGCACCCGAACTGTAGGCCTCTGTAGTATGAGTTAACGTACAACTCGGATAGTTGGCAGCATGAGTAACTGCATTAGTCCCTTTGACTCAGACATTAGAAGGCAACCCTACATACTTTCTTCTTAAGTAAAAATAGGTTACGAGCCACTCTTCAAACTGTATGATTTGTTGCAAAATAAAGCCTTAAACTGACTGCATTTGAAATCCATGGCAAATACACTGAGCTGAATATGAGCAGGGAGAGGGTAACAGTCAGAGCCACCCTAGGAGTGTGAGGGGTCGGGGGGTGGGGGGGAGGTGTGGCAAGCAGGTGGAGCTGGTGTGGGGGGCAGTGGGTGGCGAGCAGCCAGAGCTGGTGGCGCTCGGCAGCAGCCGTGCATGGCAGCCACAACGGGGCCTATACTGCACTCACCGCAGAGCCCCCCCAAAGCGTGGGACCTGGGGTGATTGCCCCAATTTGCCCCCCCCCAGGGAAGGGACAGCCCTGGTAACAGCGGACAGAATCCTGCACGCTAGTGAGTATTTGTGAGTCCCATGGGGGTCTTTACACCTTCTCTGGGGTTGGGGGGAGTGCTTTAATTAGAGCTGCTTTAATTAAAGCGCCTGTGGCATCTCGTGTATTCAGCATCCTGAGCTTCAAAATGGCAGCGGAGGTGCTTTAGCAAAAGCTCATTTGACAAGCATTTGTTAAAGTGTCCCTGCCGCCATTTCGAAGCATGGAGATGGTAAATACACGTAATGTGCGGCTGCTGGAGTGTGCTAATTAGACTTGATTAATCAAGTCCGCTCCAGTGCGTTAGCATGCGTCAGAGCAGGCATCCAGCACACGTGTAGGTGCGTTAACTCCAATGGATTCAGGATCGGGCCCACCGACTTCACTGTGAGGCGCAGGTGCTCAGCACCTTTCTGAATTTAGGCCATTGACTACAATAAGCTCAGCATTGTGTTCCAGTGGCTGTCTATCTGGCCTTGCTTCTGTAACAAGGCTGACCAGAACACGATTTGTGTTTCATAGACGCACACAAGCATGTTTCTAGAATTTGTTGTCATTCTGCATCAGTGAAACAGAGACCCTGGGATGTTTAAATCACCCACAAAAAAAAAGACAGAACCTTTGTTTGTACAAAACAGGACAGCTCCAACAGGAAAGAGTAACTGGATGTCCCAGTGGCTCCAGCTCTCAGAGGATCCCCGGGCTGCAGACTCCAGCAGGACAGAGACAGAGCTAGTGTTTCCGAGGTCCCAGCGCACGCTCTGGCCTTTGCCCCGGGGTGTTCTGCTTTAGCTATGGGCCTAGAAGAGCTGCAGTTGGGATACACAACCACTTGCCAACCAAAAGAGTCCATTTCACTGAAAAATTCCTGGCAGCCTGTGTCTCGCACTGCACGCCGTGAGGGCAAGCACAGCACAGCTTGCACACGCAGGCTCCTGTTCATCATTAATTCGACAGGTTCTGTGTCTGCGGGGTCTAGTCAATGATGAACTAGCATGTGGATGATCGGCACCGTCACTTTGGCGAGCAGTAACCGTGCACAGGAAGGGCTGCCTACTGCTCCCCGCTTTCACGTCGAGTTTGTCACTTCCCAGCGGCGTGCTTGGGGCTGAGGCCTTCCACGAGCGGCCTGCGCGCGCAGACCGCCCCCTCCGAGCCCCCAGCCCCAAACCTTTGCGCGCGTTGCTGCAGGGGAGCCCCAGGGCTGCGCGGGCAAGCGAGGCTACCACCCACGTGCACGCCCCAACCCCGCCCTGTGGGCGGGGCGGCCCCTTTATAGCGGCGCCGCCGGGCGCCCCGCCCC